CACGATCTGCGAGTTTGGGAGCTCCTCCTGATTGGTGGAAACGACCTTGTGGTTTGCGGTTTCGATGACGTATGCAAAGAGAATTGCATATAGATCACGCATGAACTGGTCACGCTGCGCTGCACTCTGCTCCACGTTCAGGAGGACGGTGTGTAAAGTTCCTTACGGACATAGCTCGTCCTAGTCGTCAAAATCAGTGTAAGATCCTCAGAAGACACACCAAGGAGCTTCGCCACCTGCGCTAGCACAGGCGCATTAGCAACATATGCAGAGACATCACGTGCGTCTGCTTCTGAGAACTGGATGTTGCTCAGCAGGAGAATTGTAACGAGCAGGGTGAATATTGATGAGATATGCTTCGTCTTGAAGCCCAAGGTACGCATCGCCGCAAGCACTTCCTCCATCGCAATGGCGTCATCACTAAAAGGGCCACTCGGCAAGCGATAGCACCCCGACGACGCCAACAACGAATAATCCGAAGGATCCTCGAGCGCAAAGTGGTCCCGCTCCTGGGGTGTAGCACCGGCTAGAAACTGGTAGAAAATATGGAACGTTCGCTCCTCATGAGTGAGGCGCGTAAGGCGGGATTTATCAAGCGCAAACGCAAGGACTTTAGCCGACTCAATGCGTCCACGGTCATTGAAGTGGAGCTCGAGGTAACGTGTGTGACGGGAGGCGTTTGGGTTCAATAAAGTTTTGGTATTCCCAAATGAGTCGAGCAACGTGGTGAACGCCTTAATTTGGCCTGCGATACGTTTTTCCTTCTTTGAACGTGCAGAGAGCCGAAGAAGCTGGTCGACTAGGAGGCGGGTACTGTACGACTTGCCTGAGCCGGTGATGCCTCTGTTATTATTGACAATGTTAGTAGGTAGACAATAAGAGACAATGTATCGTACGAACCGAGTAATGACAGACTGAGACTGGTTCCGCCGACGCATAAGAAGGTACATTTGCGCTGCAAACTCATAGAGATGCGGTTGGAGCAACCGAGAGCTCGCAAGTGGCAGGCTGGTATCCTTGTAGCACCGTTCCTCATACTCCTTGGCACTGATGTCGTTGACGTTGGCGAGTGTTTTGAATGGGTTGACGACGAGCAAGTTGGTGGTGGCTATTCTTGTGTACGGTAAATCAGCACGAAAACGGGTGTTGAGGACGGTGACGATGGCATCGTCATTGGGGTACACCGTTGCAGAGGATGATGAGGAAACGAGGTCGACAAGGTCGCCAGAGTTGACGGCGTGATTGGCAAGCGAGCCCGACGCAGAGGCCATTTGTGGCCTTCAAATGAGCGACGAAAAAGACTGAGAATGAAAGAAGGAAGGATCAACGACACTTAAGAAATACCAGAAGGGAAAAAATGCGGCCTTGTCTGGCAAGAGCAGGTAAAAATCCAAAGTGACGTGCCAGCCAATCCGACTGTGTCATCCACCTAAATGGGTCATTCGGTTCTAGACCCTCTCGTGGAGTTCAGAAGCCAATCTGGTAACCAACGAACCATAAATCCCGTTCTCTTTGAAGGGTAGCTCATTATCATCCTATAGCGCTAAGTTCGACGTCGTAGTGTAAAGAACAGAAAAAAGCATTTAGACATGCGCAGCAAAACTGTATGCTATAAGTAGACTGATCGTCCTCCCACTGCCCCAATCCCATGATCATGTTTCCTCACTCTCATTCGGGGAAATGTCTAAATCTCAATTAGTCATTGGAACAAGCGCCCACTCTATCCTAGACATAACTTACCGGAATCTCCGTTCACATCTACAGGCCCACCAGCCTCGCGTGCAAGAGCCTCTTCCCACCCTTCCTCAAATAGCTCTGCATGTTCAGATGGGTGCACGATGCTCCCTGCGATTTTGCCCTTATTTTTAGTCCGCAGCTCGCCTCGCCATATCTCGACTACCTTGGGTACTTCGCTGTGCCGAAATCAGCATCAAATGTTACATCCATGGCTGGACCACACACACCTTGGTGCGTATGTTCGTGCAAAGAGCGCAGCTTCTGGTGCACGATTCGTCTTCACAAGTAGATCCACACACGATTTGGCATCGCCCAGCTGAAACAGCGTCGCAAACGCCAAATTATTTGCACCCTTCTTTTCAGCTGTCGCTGCGAGCTTCTGCAGCCCCTCTCGATCACCCGTCGAAAGCAGAAGTAGCATTAGCGCACTCAAATCACCCGCTTTTTCGAACGCCTCCTGAGCCAGGTCGAACCGCCACACCGTAAGGGCACGATCGCCGATCGCTTTCCACTTCGTCTCTGACTCTGACTCTAAGGCAGAGCGCGCAATATCGACTGCTGTGTCTAGATCATCGAGCTGCAGCGAGAGGTCGAACTTGTGATCAGGGTCTGTGGTGACCTGCAGAGCAAGCTCCTTGAGGTCTGAGGAAAGAACGGCTGAATCCCGGGCCCTAATACGTAATTAAAATCATGCATACCTCGACCCTCCAGGAACCGAGCAACTTTGTTTAGCTGCTCCTTGGGCAAAGTGGGCAAAATTTCGGCTGCTGAGTCCATGTCACCACGGAGGACAGCCGTCTGGTATTCAACAACGCTCAAGGACAATGAATACCCAGAGATATTCATGTCCTTGTCCGCAAGATACACCCGATTATGTGCCGGTATGTATCCCAGTATAAACATCGAGCTGCAGCAATGTCAGTTCAAACATGATGACCAAAGCGTATCATGCACGCACGTATCAGATGGGCTGATCGTGTACGATTCATTGCCCACGAAGTAGTTGAGGCGGTTTCCAGCCGTGGTGTAGATAAAGCAGTCACCTATCCATTTCGCCGTCTTCACGCTGATAAAAGATGGTCAGTTGGGCATGAAACTTCTGCTGATAACACCGCACCTATCCGAAATCTCAGCAACAACATCAAATGCTTCCTCAACACCCTCATCTGTAATTTCCACGCCTTCCTCTAGTTTGGAATTGTAGGCATCTCGATCAAATTTGAGGATATAATAAGAGTCGTCCGATACAACCGCCACGAGCGTCCCTGTCGTCGACCAAAAGATCTATCAAGGCATTAGTATCATAAGCGTCCAACCTGTGTCACAAACTCACATTCTTCGCATCCACATCAATGCGCCTCACAATATCCCCACTTTCCCAATCCCAAAAGATCACGAAACCCTTTCCACGCGCACCAAGCACCGGACCCCCATAAATGGCGTCCACTGCCCAGCTTCCTGCACCTTTCATCCCCGCACCACCACGCTCTTTGAAGTTCTTGAACACACGGAGCTTGACCTTGTTCTCCAGTACCGCGTACGTGTTTGAGTCACCTGCCCACGCGAAGCCCGTACCCGACCCAAATGCCTTGTTCCGCCATGCGAGCGCAGTGTAGATAATGTATTCTCCATCACCAACGACAGTCACGAAGCGTCCGTTCGGCGAGTGCAGCAGTGCCGTCGCGAAGATCTCTGTGGTACCAATCTCCTTGATCGACAAGGGGATGCGGTTACCGTCTGCAGTGGTGATGTCAGAAAGTGTGGCAAGGTTGCCAGATAGCACGACTTGGTTCTTCGTGTATATCAATTTGCCTGATGGGTCCATGCTGTATGTAGGCTCATCCCGACCAAGCTTGAGAGGCATCAGGTATGCAGAGTGTGTGAACAATGCAAACTGACCTTGATCACGACGATACCCTCATCAAAACCGACAGCCACCTCATTTGCATCTCGGCGCAGCGAGACACACCATGCGCGCTCGAGTGCATAGCTGAGGGTGTTCTCCAAACGGTAGGTATTACTATTCCATATCTTCACGGTACCATCTTCACTGCCGCTAATTATGATGGGCAGGTTGGGGTGGAATACAGCGAAGCTTGGGTTGTTCGTGTGTCCTTCCATCGTTTGCACGCAGCTTTTGCTGAGGTAGTCCCAGATCTTGATAGTCCGGTCGTCACCTGTCGTGACGAGATATGGCTTATCCGAGCCAGGGTAAAAGTCGACGTAGTTGACGCCCTTGTCATGCGCGTCCATGGTAAAGTTAGCTGTAGGGGAGGCAAGGGACCACATCTTGACAGTCCGATCAAGACAAGCGGATGCGAAGGTATTCGAGTCTTTGGGGTTGAAAGTGATATTCATAATGTAGTGTGTATGGCCTTCATAGACCTGGCGGGAGTTGAGCCTGAGAGTAGACCAAATCATAGTAACGCACCTGAATACATTTCCACTGCTTGTCCCAATCCCAAGCTTTGATGGTCATGTCATCACTCCCAGTGAGCACGATGCTCGCAGTTGGGTGAACGGTGAGACATCGTATATAATCAGGGTGGGCCTCGAACGCAACGACCTTCTCATGCGTATTGTAATTGAAGACGCGCAGCTGGAAGTCGTCCGAGCCAGCAACAAACCAGTTTTTTCGGGGAATGAACTTGACACAGCGTACAGGGACAGAAGAGACCTCGAAAGTCTTGACAAGTGCGCCAGTTTCGTGGTTGTAGATGTTGACGGAACCGTTATACAGACCTGTTAGCAGCCATGGCTCAGTAGGGTGGAAATCAGCGCCTTTGACTCGGTCAGATCGGGAGAATAATTTTCGCTTGTGATGTCTAGGTTAAATTTACGAAGATAAACTGGCTCTGGGACTTACGTTGACATCGAATAACATGGTGTCGGCGTCGTTTAGCTCGACCTGGACGGTGTTCAGTACAGTGACCACTTATGGACATTTTTCCACCCCTCGAAAGAGGGTCATGAAACGTGGCTTCTACTTGGCAAGCGCCCAACTCAGTTGTCACCTCTCCTCTACATCTTCAACCGTAACACCTCCGACAAATATTGAAAGGATCTGGGGTTAACTTATTACCAAGGCATTTACTCGTATCTTATTTTCCCCTTTTGGATTACTGATAACCAGGTACTAGAACACACGCCGCAGCTTGTCAGGGGCTTGCATCTGATCTTGGCACTTATGAACGCTGAACGTTGAAAAATATCCACCACTGCATGGAATGCAGTCTTCTTTGATCTATCGTAGAAGACGCATTGTGATGGCCTGTGCGGTGCAATGATACCTCGCTGCATCCCATCACTGTAAGTTGCGCCATGAGGTGCAACACCTTTTATGGCATGGCCTTCAAGGAGGTTTTAAACTGGGCGCTGAGGCACTACACTTTTTCTTCTCGTCAGGACATAGGCTCTTTACCAAGCATTTCAGGTTTTCGTCCAAGTCGTAAGTGTACTCTCCTCTGAGAATTGATTTGGTCTAAGACTACTGGCAGGACATGAGTCACCCGCACAATATTAACTGCCTTCCAGCGAAACTGCTCTTGAACATATTCCAACTCACAGGGACTCACGGTGGTCCCCGAATACTACCCGGAATCGTCATTGCGTCGCACGTTTGCAAGCGCTGGCGATACCTCATCCTCCAAACACAGTCTCTCTGGACTGTAATATCAATTTCTAACAGGGAAAAAGACTATGCCCACCATGCGCGGGTCTGGCTGACCCGAAGTGGCGCCTTACCAGTTGATATAACTATCCACTGGGACTGGTCATGGGTGGAACGCAAAGCCGAACGGGCTCTCTTTCCCATTGACGACGCAGCTCCATGGGCTGATGATACCTCACAATATATCAGACGCTCATACACGGAATATGAGCGATTCCACGAACTCGAGCGCAAGTCACTCATGCGTGAGCTCGAACGCCACAAACACCGTTGGCGCTCCATCAGATGGAATGAAACTTCGGATCGCCTGATCCAGGACAACGCAGATACAGATGTGGTAAGTGTAGCATGTTTTCCATCTATACATCGCGCATCTTCTTATTGCACTGAACAAGCAGACATTAGTGGATCACATTCCTGGCATGGACTCGAATTCAACAATTTATATGGTGGTGTCACGCGACTTTCCCTCACAGTCGTCATATTCCATTGACGACTTCCGCTCATGGTCGTCCATTGATTCTAAAGCATCAGTTCGAAAAAGCAAGAGTTACTTCTTTACAAGATATAAGACCAGCGCGCGTAGGTTCTGGTCAAAATTCTTGGATTTGTTACGCTTTTTAAACTTCCTGTCGTTGAAATAATCGATTATATCTCCAGTCACTGACCTGCGGCGCATTTGTACCCGGTACGAATGTTTGTGTATGTATTTCTCAAAATTTACCATTGACTCGGTGCTCCTAATTATAAGTGTAGGTCAGGTGTGTTAATGTCAGCTTTGATGGAGGTACTGCATACTGGTTCTGTTTGGCAAAGGCTTGTGCTTTCAATATGTACAAACAACTAATGTTTATTCCACAACTTGGGTTTCCGATGTGTCCACTGTCTGACATACCAGCCGAGCGCAGTTGTGTATCATGTATCTATATTGACTTTAAAAACCACCCAATTGCCCTCTTCCATTAGAAACTCTGCAATTTCTACGTGTGCTACTAGAGCTCAGCCCAGGACTCAGAAGACCTGCTGGGGTCTAACTGATACGGCGGTGGCCAGGGTCTAAAAGTGACGGGAAATGGAACACACGAGTTCTGGGGCAGGCAACAACGTGTACGATCATATCGCCTCATACATCCCCCTTCTTGCCGCATCACATGCATTCACGAGGTCAAGAAGCTGTGGAAGGGGCTCGGCTTTTGGTCAATGTGACCTGAGGCATGGCGCAACATTTTTGTCTGCAACTTTACAGCATATCCTCCTGATAAGTCCCCGAATTCTGATGGGGTTGTCAGTTCCTCTTTGTCTGCGACGCTAGTATTGTCAGCGCTTGGCTCCGCAGCGGGCTTTAGGGGTTCACACAAGGCGTCTTACACCCCGCAGAACCTACACGTGTTCGCCTGATGGTCAATCACGCGATTATCATCCACTAGTCGCGCACATCTCATCATATCACTACTGCTTTGAACCGGTGCTAATGAGTAAGTAACTTCCACGTCTTTCACCTCGTCGAAACCGCCAGGCATCGCTACTATTTAGACCGCACAGTCCGACGTTTGTCCACATTGCACCCCCTTAACATTCTACTCGTACTCTCTGCTCCAGTGTGTTATCTGTAATTCTTTCTCGTATTTTCCTTCCTTAGCTTTTCTCGAAGATAACCTGCATCGCTTGTAAGCGAACTTGGAGTGATGTCTACGACGCCCCCTCCCAAGAAGACCTTCCGCTCTCGTGTCGGAACGGTAATGCGTCGCTCCTCTACGAGCTGGGGTCTCCCAGGTTTGCCCAATCGCCCAGGCTCAACAACTCCCCCTCTCCCAGAGCCTGATTCTGCCTCCATAGCGGGGTCAACCTCTCCAAAGCTCGAGCGTGAGGGCTCCACCACGTCCCTTACGCAGGTCGAAACTACACGGTCGACTCCTCCTCCCCCCGGTACCATTCCTGAGTCACCTGCTCGTGAAGAAGCTGCCCTTGCTAGTGAGATGTCTCCTCAGCAGATTTCATCGCCACTCTCAGGGGGCTCTGTTACCGCCGAACCTGCTCCAGATCCTTCTATTCAAGCGCCTGAAGAATCACGTAAAGCTGCTGAAGCGCCCAAACCCGAGTCCGACTTCGTAATTCCCTCCGTCGTGGTCAACTCGCCCGAGCAAGCAAAGGAGAATGCTCTTTCCCCCGTGTTCACAGACGAACCAGAGGAGATGTCTCCTGGCCCACCCGCAGAGCGCGCTCAAGTATCTGCTCCTCCGGCCTCAACAAAGGCTCCTGATGCTGCCCCAACGCCTACTCCAGTCCCTTCTACGACACCTCCACCTGCCCCAGCCCGTGAACCTACACCACCATCTGCTCCAGCCCGTGAACCTACACCACCATCTGCTCCAGCCCGTGCACCTACACCACCATCTGCTCCAGCCCGTGAACCTACACCACCATCTGCTCCAGCCCGTGAACCCACGCCTCCATCTGCCCCAGCTCGTAAACCCACACCTCCAGTTTTAGCTGCTACACCTCCTCCAGCAGGAAAGGCAGCAGATGATCCTTCGACAGCACCTGCGCCTGCTGCGGCATCGGCACCACCTCGTACACGAGCTTCAACGCCTCCAGCACATCCATCGGAGGTTTCTCGTGTTCCACCCTCTGCACCACCGACTCCCCCTGCACGGACACCTGGCCCTGCCACAGCTACAGGTTACTTTGACCTTTCAGTTCCCCGCACATCGTCTCCGCTGGATGAGCATGTAGAGGAGGGAGCAAACGTCTGGGCAGACCATATCTCCACTTCGCCTCCGCCTGCACCGCCTGCCCCTGCCCCTGCCCCTGCTCCTGCTCCCGAATTCGACCCACTTGCTAATCGCCCCGCAGCACCCAAAGTCGCGAAAACCACTTCCCGTGCTCGAGGTTCATCCGTATCCTCTGCGCAGGTGATGGCACAGCGACAACCGAGCCGGAAGCCAAGCTCGACCCTCCAGCCCCGCGAGCGGGAGATCGTTGGTACCACATACACCTGGAGTAATCCAAGCAGTGAATTCAACCAAAGCAAGGCGAGCCTGATGTGCGTCCTTCCTACTTGTTCTTTTTGACAATGGTCTGATGAACACCTCAGAATGCCTTCGGAGGATCCGTTCGCAGATCAAGGCCCGCGTGCTCCGGGCCATCATATCTATCCCCCTCAACAGTCTACTGAAATCTCGTCGCCCATTGTTCATGAGTATGTGCTGTGTCCTCTGTATTATCTTTGAAGTAATGGTCGTGTTAGTCATTTCGACCCTCGATCACCACGAGATGATAGCATGGTAGCTCCTGCTGAACCAGTGGCGGTACCACTGCCTGCCCTGCATGAAGTCATGCTTACCCAGTGAGTTGTGCATCAATGTTCCTCGCCGTATCTTAATCCTTGACAGCTCCGTTCGGCAAGTCTCTTCAGGCTACACCTCGAGCGACGGGGCCAGTACCGGGTACTTCCAGAGCAGAGACATACCCATAGAAACGAAGTTTGTCCAGATCGGTATTTGCATAAGGTCCTACATCTAACCTAACCTTACAGCGAGCGCCAGCCCTTGATCACTCGCCCAGGTCGCCCGACTACGCCTCCCATCGTGACCACGTTCTCACCACCTAGCCCATCAACACAATCTTATCATTCACATACCTTCGATGTCAGCCATCCCACTCCACAGCGGGCCCAGCCTGCTCGCCTCGAAGGCAATGGCTCCGCACATACTTATTCGTATGGGTCGGTGTCCAGACCATATGCTGGCCGTGGATGGATAGAGCAGGCGCTACCTCACGGTGCCAAATACTTCGTGAATCCGCGTATTCAAGCTACGACCGATGTTGACCTTCGCAACTTGTCTAAGCTGGATGCGGTTATGTCGGTTGTGGAAACGGCCGGTAGCGCCCCTGAGGGATGTGAGATGTGGGCCAGAGATGGCCCCGTCGTGAAGAGAGGTTGGAGGAGACAGAAGATGGCTGGAGGGCCAGTTATCAGTTGGGTAGACCATCGGATCCGCAGAGTCTCAAGCCAAATCCCTAGTGTCGATGGAATTATCTTCTCTGGGGAAGATGACAGTCAGTGATGCCTTTTCATATACAACTCGCTTGCTAACTAGAATACAAATACACAGGACTTGATGACGAGTACAGATACTGGTCATTTGTAGAGACTCACCCCGCGCATATTTCATTGCCGCCAAGTGCTCGGCAGGAAGCTTTGGACGCTCTTCATTGGTCTTATACAGACCCATTATTGGCACATCCTCAGCCGATCCCTCCTCCCTTCACCCAGGACGAGTGTCATAAGTTGTTAGGACATCTTAATGGTCCGTTATCGTCTACTTTCTCAAGTGACGACTTAATTGATCGCTTGTGCAGACCCCAACCTGCGGTCAACTACCACGCATACACGAATGATTGCCCGTATCTTGCTTCGCGTCGGTATGTAGTACTCAAATGATGTTGAACACCCCTTGATTGTGTAATGCTGCAGCCCACTGGCGTCAAACGAACTTCCGACCACACAAGCCTCTTCCTCGCGATGTCCCTATCATGCAGCGTCCCAAACGACGCGTGCCCATAGGTCGCATGATTGCCGATATCCTTACTGGCATTCTCTGCCTGGGTATTCCATTCTTCCTCGTTGACCGGTCAAATTATGGCGGTCATGTTGACTTGGAGGGCAACATCGTGTCTAATTCTGGTGGTCCTTTATTCCTTGCTGGTGCTTGCGCATGCCTGGTGGTGAGCTTATTCCTCGATCTGCGTGTCAGGTATTTAATACGATCTACTAGGCCGCTGTCATCCTCAGCGCTTCTGTGACACTCATGACATTACCCGGTCTGAGTGGTGTCGCACGCATGTCAGGTCTCGTCGCCATCATGTGCTCGGTATTGAGTATGATCACCTCGTTCATTTCCATCATACGCCACAAGGCGGAAATGGCGCACGGGACGCCCACATCGGGCTCCGAAGGATTTGTACTTCTTACTGTATGTTGTTATCACTTGCGTGATGATCTTATACTGACATCACTCTGTTCTTAGCGCCGAAGTGTCTTCTTATCTCTCCCACTTGTATTCCTAGCCTACTCTGTCGCAGGCTTTATCACTGGCGTTGTTATCTACTCATTCAACGGAGTAGTGCTCAACGGCACAGCGAACAGCTCTCTATCACATGCACATTGATGAAATTGGCGCTCGGTGTCTTAGAGGGTGTCACCGGAGTGCTTGTCGCTACTTCATAACTATTTATTCAGTGTGTATGTTAGAAATTTGTATCACGAACCTGTCACGTACCTTGTATATGACACAAGGTCTAATTCCAGCTCAGTCTTCTATGAATCTCGGAAATATCGGCCAGCGACGGTGGCCCTGGCTCCATGTGAGATTTTGAGACCGCGCCGATCGAGACTACCAGGTGCTTATTGGATCGGACTATTGCTGGTTTCATGAGCAGGTAATCACATAGCGGCGGCTTTGCGATTGGATATAGGCTAATTGCAAGCTCAGATCGACGTTTGGATGAGAAATGCGTGCATTGAATATAATAATACAAATAATTTAGATGAGTGGTGAAAGATGCTAGTGATACATGCTAACGAAACCAATACCTCAATCAACGACAACAAGTCCATCGAAACTCTTCCTCCCCAAGGCCATCTCCATAAACTCCACAGGAGTGAGCGTTTTTCTTCGCCTTCACCTGAGCCACTTCCGCCCCATGCTGAACCACTTCTTCCCACTCCTCTTCTTCATCCCCACCCATGAACACCTTCAACAGCGACGGCGAGTACCCGCTCAGCAGCGCAACACCCTTCCGGTCCCCGGTCACAGGAGCGGTGATACCTGGGTAAGCATCCGCAAAGGACAGGTTCCAGTACACGATCTCCGGCATCTCGTATCCTGCCTCCTTGTACGCCTTCTCGATGACATCATGATTCGTGTCCCACTCCGCCACATTCGGTACAGTCTGGTAAGTGGTCTGAGACGCATCGAACTGCATATCTGTGAACACGAAGATCCGCTGGATCATCTGGTCCTGAGGCACGGCGTGCTTCTTGGCGAGCGGGAGAAGGAGGTCGAGGAAGACGGCGTTGAAGTTAGTGTTCATGGTCCACTCGGAACGCGCCATCTTCATCACCGTTTCGCCGAGTGAAACGGTGCCTTCAGGATCAAGCACGACCATCTGTGGATTCGCGGAAAAAGTGATGAACGCGTCCTTGAAAGGCGGCTTCGCAAGACGCGCCAAGATGAGGCTGAGGGAAATAGCAGGCCAGATGGGGAATACGGAGGACTGGCGTGTTCCGGCGTAGTGATAATCGACACTGCCCATTGACCCCGAGACGTCACAGACGGCAATGCAGTTGTCTAGCTCCCCAGCCTCGCGCAGACGCTGGAGGAGCGTCGCCCACTGTACCTCCGCCACACGCGCTTGTGTCTCCGCAAGCTTACGCTTGTGCTCCTCGATGGCATTTTGCAGGGACACTTTCCCTTTCACTGGCAGAGAGCGCACACACGCCGCGGCCTGCATGACAAGTTCGTGTGGGAGGAGCGTTGCACCACTGATCTGCTGCTTTCCCGATTCCACATCTGTCAGATAAGAAACAAAGCGGTCAGGATCGTGATTGAAGAAATGTTTCTTATTGTTGTCCATGCAGACAGATGGAACACGGGAGTAGACGATTTCGGACCAGCGATTAGCGGACATGAGGGGCTCGGGGAGGGACTTGAGACGACGGGAAGGTGAAAGAATGTGACGGCGGAGGAAGGAACGCAAGACATGCAACTCCAGGGCACTGGGGGAGAGCGTGACAGGGATTTTGTACGCGAGGGAAGATGTGATTTGAGCGTGGTGCAGGAGGATGCAGATAGCAGAGGTGATATTCGTAACCCTATCGTGCGACCCCCCAGGAGAGGGTGCCCATTTTGTCGCTAGGGAGAGCGAAAATATGAGAGACACACGGTCCTTCTGTGTTGCATCCGCCGGAAGGGAGGCTAGCCTATCAAGAATCGAGACATCTTTGACAAGCTGATCTGCAAATAGCCTGGAAACCGCGACATACAGAGCACGATACTTTGGCTGCTGTAGCTTCTCCACAATTAAGGCGTGGTTCACACCATGGGCCTGAACACGCTTTGCCCTCGACCACGCTTCCTGTTCAGCATTAGACTTGAATTCAGGGCGAGAGTTGCGAGGTGTATAATTGTGAAGGAAAGTGAAGCATGCAGGAGCAGGATAAAGCTCGTCAACAGTGGCCAAGGCGAGGATGTTGAGCAGGTCCTTCCAGTAGCCGTGAGGCATGTTCACGCGCTTCTTGGTGTCTTTGCCTTTGACAGGACGGAGGCGACTACAGACAGGCTCCACAAGAAGATGGAGATTGGAAACAGCAGTGCGAGGGTGGTTTTCGAAGAGCCAGCCAAACGCCATGTAAAAGAGCTCCTTGTCGCTTTTCCCATCATGAATGCTCCTGAGAGACCAGATGATTCGGAGGGTGAGAGCTGGGTCTTCAGCCCAAGCCTTGCAAAGATAATCATCAATGGAGGACCCAGACACACCGGGACGTATGCCATTGAATGCATCTAGTGTGGCCGAAAGAGTGGAACTAAAGGCGGGCGAATAATTTTCAGTGAGCTTGTGGTGAGCAGTCGAACGGAGCGCATCCATCATAGCATTGGAATGTGCTGGAGAATTTTCGGTGATTATCATCGGGCTAGCATCCTCAGAAACAGGAAGAAGAACGTCAAGGAAGTTGGGATTGGTGAGCTCAGGGATAGCGGGGAGAGTAACGTTCTGGGAGGAAGCAGCGGCGAGAGGGGCAGTCATAGTAGCTGTCGACATCTTCGCAGTAATTGCAGCAAGAAATGAGCTAGGTCTGATTAATTGGATTGTGGTGCAAGTGGCGAGACGAGCACGACAAGGGCATCTCCTAAGTGAAGGGGTGCCCTTTATAAACCGCCAGACCGACTGTGACATTCTGAGTCTAAATAATTGGTCAGTCACAATGACTCCACTACCTGAGAGCTCTCGTCACCATTCAGCACAGCAAGCGGTGGGATGAGTCGATGACTGACTCAAGAGTCGAGTCTTTGCCTGTCATTGCAAATTGAGAGCGGTACCGAAAGTACCACTCTTGTGAAATTCCATTCAATGTCGCGGAGTTCTAAGTTAGATTTGCATCGCTCAAGAAGGTAGATAGTCAGGAGGGTATTAATATTGGGTGCAGTGAAGTATAGTATCACGATGGAATAAATACACAGGAAATCAATACAACATGTGTTGCAACTGCAAGAATATAAGTAAACGCAACTCGTTCGTATCACTGGCGGGAGCGGCCAGCTCGAGAAGCTAACTTCTGTCTGTCGCATTCCGCCTTAATGTATTCCAAAACTTCGTCAACCAAAGGTCGCGTGTCGACGTCTAGCGACAAACATCGTTCAATATAGCACCAATGAACATCAGCGATTCCAGGCGGTCGTGTTGGTGGAGTGCCTTTGAATTTGGCCACAGGGATACAAGTCTCGCTTATATCAAAGTACGGGGACTGACCAGATAACACCTAATGTGATATTTAGAATCATTCACTTGCGACAGATAAGAGAGTCGGCGTTACCTGCATCATGATGCAACCAAATGAATAGATGTCACTTGGTTTATTTGGTTTGCTAATTTCTTCGTCGGGTTTTTCAGGATCGAGCGGTGTGATTTCTGGAGCAGCCCAACGAATTGCACCTGGTCCGTGAGAATCGAAGAAGGATGTTTCATGATCACCCAGCAGGCGCGACAGGCCGAAGTCCGCAAGGAGAGCGTTCTCATTCTCATCGATCAGAACATTGAACTGAAATTTTATGAGTAGCCTGGTCGACTGGCGAAATTTGTGACATACAGGCATGAGGTCCCCGTGTATAATGTTGCTAAAATGCACTGATTCGTTGTGTATAATCTGAATGAGGTCACGGAGCCACAATTCACTCACGATACTGCAGGCCTAAAACGACTTGGGAGAGCTGTATTTCAACTGATCTCAGCGTGCGTCTATAAGATATGGACAAAAATGCTCACGAGACGAAAGAGACGATGCATTTCAGGCGAGAATTGCTCGTCCCACATTATCTTCAGATATTGCTGGAGAGACCCATTTTCCATCCATGGACATACTAGCGCCGGGATAGTGCCAAAACGGTCCGTAGTGCCATACAAAGGCAGTATATGTGAGTGTTTTCAGCTGTTGCCAAAGAAAGACTTCCTGACGCAGTTTCTGGATAGCGTGATGGTAGGTGCCACATGAATCGATTGCACGAGAACTGACCTTGATCAATTGTTTCATGTCTTTTGGATTCCTTGATAGCACTCTGAGAACCTTGACAGCGACGTCTTCCGGGGGCATCTGGTAGGATCAAGCTCATCTTCTCGAAGTAGATCAATGAATCAACGAACCTTGATACCGTTTCGAGGGAAAGAATCCAGTTTGCACTTCCAGACGTCACTGAATCCGCCAAGACTGAGGGGATAATTCTCGGTACGTATAATATAATGCGTAAGATCCTGAGGTTGAGGGTGATATTTTTGGAGGTCAACATCTCTGGAAATAAAGACGATCAGCCTCAGCTCAAAGCGCTGTGTTTTGCGGAGGAATACACACACATTTTTAGGTAAGGTTGCGTCAGTGAGGAAGGAAGATCACGCTCACAGTCAGGATCTTCATGCCCAACCGCTGGGGACGCAACGACCACGAAACTCGCAAGTGACCCAGAAGGCGAGACAATACAAGGGGATTCAGGGCCAGTACTACTTGTTGTAAGATCTGGGACCCTTTTCAATTCATCGGAATTGCTCTATAGGTACACAGCATTGAGTCAGTCATTGTATGCCAAGGCGCTCATTGATAAGCACTCACTGAAGTGGTACCCTCACCGGTGAAGGATGAGATAGACAGCGAGCAATTGATGCGCAGCCTTTTCCAGTAATTCGCTAATCATTCGTCATCAGTGTTAATTCACCATGTGGAAGACTACTCGCTGTTAGTAGATGTTGAATACTCCGTAAGCGGTTGCGACATTGTGTTGGGGCAGTAACTTGAACGAAAAGAAGCTTGGATAAATGGAAGGTGTCAGGAGCTACAGCAAGCGGAGAGCGAACTCACATTTATTGGACTGGGGGCATCTTCGCAAATTTCACAGAAGTAAAGAATGTGCATCATGAAACTTGCTACTGCCGCGAGTCTTCTGACCTGCCAGAACCTGCGGATCTTGGCTGCGAAGTCTCTAGAAGATCAGGTGGAGGATAACCCTGTGGACGGTGGCTGGGCCCAAATTAATGAATTTACCGAGACAGGCAACCATAGGTTTAAGGTGAGTTTGCAGAGTTCAACGGACCCTTGTGATATCTCTTATTGCAGTAGTGTTGACACGAGCACTCACAATGCTGTTAATTCCACAAGAAGAAGTGTCTCATATCACAAGTACATCTCAGATGAAGCTCCAGGTGTAGAACTCGGTGCTGTGCAGCGGCTGACCTGTGCTTCTCCACGAACAACGGTAGTACCTACTGGATATGAACACTTGTCGTATACGCGATCATCAGGTTCGAATGACGAATGCTCTTACTACGATGCTGTGGAGTCCAAGTCGGTGTTCGTGAATTCAAGTCTGGTAGCACATATCCAGGCCATACGCTTAATGGCCAAGTAAGAACTTTAGTGATCGATCTGATGTAAGCCGAGTATTTCGGAAGTTCGCGGAACCAGCGCTGGTAGCCATTGAATTTGAAGCCAGCGCTTTGTGTACCCTGATCCTTTATCGATTATCTTTTGACTGCCACTGATCGACTTTAGTCCTAATTCGAATACCGCGATCCGACCGTCAGATCTGAGTCGTGGTGGAAGCTAGCAGATCAAGGGGAATTTTCCATACCCGGCCTCTATCGATGCCGGTAACTGGTTGAGTAAGCAGTGGGTCTACAGCCTACTACTTATCAGTACTTACTTATCTCTTCCTCCTCACACCGCCACGCGTATCACGTCCTCCTTGTGACCGGTTGACCACGTAACCCGCGTCCTCAATGCCTTGATGTAATGCGTTCAATTGGCCCTGAGAAATTTCACAGCTTCTCGATGGGAACATGGCCCATGGCTACACCCTTACGATCGTTCGAGAAACGTTGGAGTTCTTTCTGCCAGTGCATCCTTATTCCGCGAGAAACTCGTCTTGGCTATTTTAGTATCAGAATCAGCTGATACTAAAACGGTGGTGCCTTCTTGGCTCGAGTGGGTCTTTCAATACCGTCATGAAACGCAGACGTACTAATCAAACCAAGATTAAGCTGTGTAACAAGGTTTGTTTGAATGAACGTGCTCGAATCAATTACCACACCTGTGCATAGTCAGTCTGGCCTTCATACCCGTTGAAACGAGAGTTTCCTTCCGACTTCCACGATCATCGTAGGCATGCCACAGACCTCGAGGCCGGACCGCGCGCGAAAACCACCACAACTTTAGAACAAAGTTCACCATGTCGCCTAAAGCCCGCTTGCTGCTCTGGGAATTTGACCAGCTGTATGAGGCGATACTGTGGATGTACTTACATCCAGTAAATTGTGCATCGCAGCTGAGCTGACTTTTGAGGCTGCCGGTATACACACAATCCGTGGCTGGAAGTTCTACAGGCCATGTGCACATCGAATGCATACAGGTGGCTTGGCTGGATGCATGTCACAAAGGTTAGGAGAACTGTGATTGTGAGCTGTGAAGTAACTAGATTGAAATAGCACCTCATAAGACGTGCTACTACATTTATGGCATTCCGGTCGAAAGGTATGAATATCGCCTGAATTCAGCGTCTACTTTCTAACACCCGCATCCTACTCAACAGGGCTCTGGCATGTCTGACCTGCTTGCATATTTCGGGCTGGTGGTGAAGTTACCTTTGACATTCGTTCGATGGTCGTATCGAGAAATAGTACCTATGACCCTCCATTCGTTTGCCCAAGGCTCATGCCCCAATCCGCAAGGCGTCGTTCCGAGTCCAGTCATCTCAGAGCCTTGGACTCTCCTAAGAGAAGGTCACAACATTGATGTCCCTGAGTACACAAATTACTTCCCTCAGAGTTAATTGGCTGAATTTCAGAACAGCTCGATGGATTCATCATCAGATTCTTCCAGACGGACACCAACCACTCCGGCCAATTTTCAGCGACATCCTGTAGGGGAATCTCAGTGTAACTCCCCCCCTGATCTCACCAGCCAAGTCGTTCGTCGTGAAATATATCCAACATTATCGGGTACGTATAGTGACGTTTGGCGATCAACATGGTACCATGACAAGCGAAAGCGTGATGTGAGTGGAATTCCCCTATTAGAATCCTCCAAACACGAATGACTTTCTTAGGTTGCGGTCAAGTCACTGAAAATCCCATTCTCGAATGAGGATGAGAAGTGTAAGAATTGTCAAGTCTGTTGTTTCGTTTGTGTCCAAGAAAACTCACTCACGGATAACTTAGAACCTAATGGGTAAAATATCACGTTGGGCGCAATTACATCACAAAAACGTTCTGCCACTATATGGATTTGCACACGATTTTGGGCACTTTCCGTCACTGGTGACGCCTTGGGTGGACGAGGGGTCGTTGAATGATCACATCGCTAATCATCATTTGTCACTGCCGAGCAAGTTGGATATCGTAAGTAGCCTTTTCGGTGGAAATGATGTCTCTCATTCTTGCACTTGTGCGTCCTTAGGCCAAACAGGTAGTAGCTGGCCTTGGCTATCGTTAGTTTTCATTCATTCGTCGTGGCAATGGCTTTCATTGATTTCAAATGTAGTACATGCTCATTCCATTGTGCACGGAGATATCTCTGGAGTAAGATCTCTGTTCCTAGCAGTATAATTCGCTAACATCGTCTAGCATAACATCCTGGTAGACCATCAGGGCAGAGCGCAATTATCCGACTTTGGAGCTATGTTATTACTCGCGGAAATCCCAACTCCGGCGCAGCCATCTGGAGGTGTTCGCTCAGCGGTTCGATGGACTGATCCCCAGTTATTCGAGGCGCAGAGAGGCGAAATCGACCCATGCATCCCAACGGAGCAGACTGATATCTATTCAATAGGCAGTGTTCTCCTGCAGGTATGGTACATAATCTCGTCGCAGGATCTTCCGCTTACCATATTGCGACTCTAGTTGCTCACAGGATCAATACCTTACTACGATATCAAGGATAACATTCGTGTCCTTATATTATCTTCTACAGGCGTAAAGCCAAAATGTCCTCCAGAAACGTTTGTCACTGGTGCACAGTGGAGTTTTATTCAAAGATGTTGGTCACCTCGTGGACTTTCTAGTCGTCCGACTATCGAGGAAATAGAAGAATTTCTAGAGTCCGAGCTTCGGATGGCAGGTTTACCTTAGCGCAGGACTTGATCCCCAGTACGTGCATCTGCACGTTCATGACACGCCCACAGACAGAATATTTCATATAGGCTGTGATTTACTGTGCCGCTAGCTTTATTCGGTGTTGATTGGACCTAGGGAAAGAGGTTATTTAACTACGCCACGTGCACCAGATCTTGTCTCACTAGTAGTTGTCCTACATTCTTGATTGTAACCGGAACGTTATATCCCTGTTCCATTTGGTTTTTTGAATGTGTGCGAACGAAATCGCTTGTGGTTTAATGGAGTACCAGCGAGCACCACGAGATTTATAATATTAATAGCTCGCATGCCTTGCCCATCGCGCGAGGATGAGAACGTACAAAGGAGTTTCATGAATAAGTTTCATGAATAAATTTAACAAATTTAATATTGTCCAACAGTCATGCGTGTGCCGCACCACAGCTAGTAAACGCCGAGACACTGGCAGGTGCTTGTGTGTGAGCAGTCATCCAATTTTTTTTTTGGTTCATTGTTTATTGTCCGGTGGGGCGAAGCCCTATGCTGGACAGTACATACGGCATTTTACTGTTTTCTAATGTTATATGTGCGGTGGTATCCAAAATAAATCACGCACCTACTGCCGTTAAGACGATAAATACTGGGCCCGAGGAGAATCTAGAAGTAAGACGAAATCCCCCCTCCCCAAAACGTAAAATACCCGGCGTTCGATGTTCACGCATTGGGGAGGTCACAGGCTTTCCTCTTTATTCCACTCAAGTTCCTTGGATCCGACATAATAGGGATTCCGGTCAAATTCGCTGAACATCGAGCCTGCGCCGCGGCGCAGCTGCACTCCTACGGGGGTAGCGCCCAACCTTGCATTTATCAAATAATGTTTCTTTCACCCGAGATCATTGGTATAATGTACGTGTTTTATCCCGTAATCCAATGCTCAGCCGATTACTTGCCAGATATCATTTGAAAAAGGCGACTGCCACACTCAGCTGCTGCCCTAGTATTTCGGGATAGGGCCCCATCACAGCCTGTAATTCTTATTAGCATCAACGACTACCGATAAGCCAAAATGGAGGCAGGCCGTCTGGATTGGTCCTGTAAGCTGTGACACACTCGTAACGGTTTTTGAAATTTGCTGTATCAATTAGGAACTCCGGTTTCAATGCCGATACATGATCCGATGACCCGTAGTAGGGTCCAAGCACAGGTTTACTTCAGCACTGCCAAAAGCGGAGGAGGCGCGGAGTCGAAGCTGGTCGAAGAGGGGAGGGACGCGGGATAATTCTGGGGATAATCGGCGTAGGTAGAGCGGTCGAGAACGTCACGGTGGACTCGTTGAACTGCCGAAACTTTTTGAGCCGTGCGAGCGTGCTGCAGAAAGCTTCGGACGACGTCTCGTCATTGTGCGGAGTGCTGCTGAGCGTTGCCGAGCGGGACTCGAAAAGACTGCAAATTTCACACTGTCCAGTAGGCCGTCGAATCAAGGTGACCTCGAGGCAACTTCAGTTCGGTTCGAAACTGAGGCAATTCGATACAACTCGATTCGTGACACCTCGTTGTAGATAAGCATCGAATTAGGAACGAATTGCAAAAGAGGACGACTATCGGATTTCCGGGCCTGTGACACGAAGGGCTGCATTGATAGTTACGGTTCGACGAGCTGATCTATATTACAAAATGTTGACGACGATAACGTCAAATGAAACATAGCCACTTCATAGCCACTTCACTTTACAAACACTTCTCATTGGCTGGCCGTATTCGTTACACTTCGGTTCGTTTTACCCACCTCGTTTCGATTCGGTTCAATTCCACGTGCCGTTCTCCGCGACCTCCAGCTTCGCTCCTAAAAATTGATGGTCCCAACCCCACGCAGTCCTAGTACTTGTCGACGGCCACAATTTCACAGCAAGCGTTCCGGCAACGTGCTCGCCTCGCCGCCGCTTATCGTGCCTAATCTGATAGTCACTCCTGCTCATTCTAACTGGCACTAGCTATCTACCTGTAGTAGATACTCAACGAATACATTTTTTCGCCACCTTTTTGGACTGCAAACTTTACCCAAAGGACCGTCAATTTTTTACACGAATTATACTGATGCTGGTGATTATCCACTCCATAATGTAAGATATATCTTTCTCAGTTCCCTCAGTTCACTGACTACTTCAGCGCATTTCATTTATCTCCTTCTCGTCTTTCGTCAGGAGGCCTCCAGCCAAAGACGAGTCTTTAAGACAATTTCTGGGCTGTCCACCAGATGAGATTGAGGTGCATGAAGGGGGAGAACTGGACGACCACCAGTTTGCGGACGGATTCAGAGGGAAGCTGTGCTTTTCCCGTCGATGCAGCTAGACTATGTCAATCTGCGTGACAAGTGCACTGAGGGGAGATTTTGTTCCATGAAGCGAGATTCTACCATTGCAGCCAGCTTGTCGACTCGTAAGGAAAGCGAGGTAATCTCGTCCACGTTATCCAAAGGTTCGTCTGATGCTGTTATGTCTACATCTCGAACCCGGTCTTTAATCTTGACCAGCGAGTGATTGTAAGGGTGGTGCTCTGTGACCACATTGAACACATCACGAAATGTACAATCACCGCATAGGGCAATTGCGGAATGTAGTTCTGTGATAGTTGTTAAGCTTTGTGCCCCGTTAGACGTACGGAAATCTGACCTGCGCAGGTAAGGCATACATAAAAAATGCCCTTCATCTTGACGCTACATTCAGCACAAGCATATACATCCCCATTCGCGACTGAGGTTCCAGCCATATCCCCTAATGCTACTCCCGGGTTCCCATTTAACTTCTCATCACCTTCCTGTACATCGACAGAGGCGGAAGAATCATCTGGAGTTCAGCTAATGAATTCCAACGCTCGACATCTGCGGGTGGTAGCTCTTGGGACAGGAGATTAAACCTTTTTCTGTCGGCTAATGATAGGAAGGTGGGATATAGTGAGGGTAGAAGTTCCCCACATACTGCAGGTCACTCATGCACCGCAAACGGATATATTTTTCCATGGGGTCTTTAGGCTGCTGACCGGGAATGAACTCGACAGGACTTCCTACCGCTCTATTGTCCTCTGCCAGACTGAAAGGACCGAGCTTCAATGCTGTTGAATCGATCTCCAGCTTAGTGTCCTCGAGCCCAAAATCGTGAGTTTCCCAGTATTCGGTGTCGCCTGTGGTTAAATCTGGAGTGTACCAAAAGTTGTACTATTACGAGGTATCAGACCGGGAATCGATATAAGGCTGCTATCTCCACGTACCAAGCCATGGGCATACCACGCGAATCTCGCTTTTGGATCATTACGTTGAGTACCCACATGCACATGTAAAATTGGCATTCAATGTTGCGGAGTTCTAAGTTGCTAGATATCTGCGTTAGAGCTCATGTGATGGAACTTCATGGAAGGCAGTCAATTATGCCAGGAGGATATTGGGACGATACGCAGTGAGTATAGCAAGGCATTGTGTCATGTTGGAATAAATACACGCGAAACAAATACATTATATGTACTGCAGCTGCAATGACACGAGAAAATGTGGTATTCGAGGTCAACTCGTTCGTATCACTGGCGGGAGCAGCCAGCTCAAGAGTTTAATTATGTCTGTCATATTCCACCTCAATGTATTCCAAAACTTCGTCAACCAAAGGTCGCGTGTCGACGTCTAGCGACAAGCATCGGTCAATATAGCGCCAGTGAACATCAGCGATTGCAGGCGGTTGTCTTGGTGGAGTGCCTTGGAATTTGGCCACAGTGACAGTATGCTCGCTTAATATATGAGAGTACGGGGGCTGGCCAGATAACACCTAATGAGATATTTGGGATCATTCACTTGCGATAGATAAGAGAGTCGGCATTACCTGCATCATGATGCAACCAAATGAATAGATGTCACTTTCTTTATTTGGCTTACTAACTTCGCCGTTGGGTGTGTCAGGATTGAGCGGTATGATTTCTGGAGCAGCCCAACGAATTGCACCTGGGCCGTGAGATTGGAAGAAGGATGTTTCATGGTCCGCCAGCAGGCGCGACAGGCCGAAGTCCGCAAGGAGAGCGTTCCCGTCCTCATCGATCAGAACATTAGACTGAAAATTTATGAGTAACAGGCACTGACTGGTGAGAAAACTGTGACATACAGGCATAAGATCTCCGTGTATAATGTCTTTAGAATGCACTGATTCATTGTGTATCGTCTAAATGAGACCACATAGCTACAATTAAATTCACTCACGATATTGCAGACCTAAAACGACTTGGAAGAGCTGTATTTCGATTCATCTGAGGGTGCGTCTATAAGATATAAACAAAAATGCTCACAAGACGAAAGAGACGATGCATTTCAGGCGGCAATTGCTCGGCATCCCACATTGTTTTCAGATATTGCTGAAGAGAACCATTTTCCATCCATGGAGACACTAGCGCTGGGACAACGTCAAAATTGCCCGTAATGCCATATAAAGGCAGTATATGTTGGTGTTCCAGCCGTTGCCAAAGATAGACTTCCTGACGCAGTTTCTGGATAGAGAGTGATTGTAGATGCCACATACATCGACTGCATGAGAACTAACCTTGATCAATTTTTTCATGTCTTCCAAATTCCTTGATGGCACTCTGAAAACTTTGACTGCGACGTTCTGCGGGGGCATCTATTAGGATCAAGCCAATGTTTTGAAAGCAAAGCAACTGGTAAACGAACTTTGATACCGTTTTGGGAGGATTCCAATTTGCACTTCCAGACGCAACTGAATCCGCCATAACCGCCGGGGTAATTCTGAGTGCATGGAGTAATATAAGGTGTGAGATCCTGAGGTCCATCGCAGTATTTTTCGAAGTCAACGTCCCTGGAAATAAAGACGTTCAGCCTCAGCTTAAAGCGCTGTGTTTTGCAAAGGAATATACACACATTTTTAGGCGAGATTGCGTCAGTAAGGAAGGAGGATCACCATCGCGGTGTGGATCTTCGCGTGTAACCGGGGATGCGAGATCTTTGAAACTTGGAAGTGACCCAGCAATAAAACGCGATTCAGATTCATCAGAATCTTTGCCCTATCGGCACACAGAATTCGGTCAATGTCTGCAAGGCACCCATTGATAAGCAAGTACTCACCGAAGTGGCGCCCTCACTGGTGAACCGTGAGATAGACTGTGAGATAGACTGCGGCAAGTTAACGCGCAGCCATTTCATCCAGTCAGTTCCTAATCATTCGTCATCAGTGTTAATCTACCAGGCAGAAGACCACTTGCTGTTGGATTTTGAATCTTCCTCAACTGGTTGCGACATTATGCTGGAGCAACAACGAAGAGAAGACTGGATAAATTTTTCGAGGATGGAAAGTGTCAGGAGCTACAGCAAGTGAAGAACGATCTCATATTTATTGGACTTGGGGCATCCTTGCAATTTTCATAGAAGTAAAACATGCGCATAAACTTGCCACCACATATCAGCATGAGGAATGACCACTCTGTTCACGGCGGCCGAGCCCAAATTAATGAATTCACGGTGGCAGGCAACCGTAGGTTCAAGGTGGGTATGCGGAGTTCAACAGACCCTTGTAATATTAAGTAGTCTTACTGCAATAGTGTTGACATGAGCACTCACAATGCCGTTGACTCCACATGAAGAGTGATGGTATCTCATATCACAAGGACAGCTTAGACACTTTGGGGAGTACAACTCGGTTCTGTGCAGCGCGCGGCTGATCAGTGCTTCTCCGCGGACAACGGTAGTACCTACTGGATATGAACAGTACTTGTCGTGTACGCAGCAAGCAGCGCCTCCCATGCTACGGAGTCCAAGTCGGTGTTCGTGAATTCAAGTCTGGTAGTGCATACCACACATACTCGGGCCATACGCAATGGCCTAGTAGGAACTCTACCGAGGTCTGGTACTCCGCATTAGTAGCCTATCGTTATCCGGAACTAGTTAAGTTCGCGGAACAAGCGCTGGACCGCTGGTAGTGGCCACTGAGAGCTTTTCGAAGTCAGCGCTTTGTGTACCCTGGTCCCTAGGCCTCATCAATTATTTCTTGCCTGCCACCGATCGATCGATCTCCCCTACAAAGTGGCCAGCCTTCTTCCACCCTAATCCTAAGAACGGTATCCGAATACCGCGTTATTACTAAGTCGTGGGTGGAAACCTGTGGAAACTCAAGCTAATCTAGCAAAGCATCATACTGTGTTCAAGGAAAAACTTTAAGTACCCCCCGGCCTCTTTGCCAAGTCCGCACCTCAAGGCCTCACTGTAGGGTCTCAGTGTCAAGTCTTCCTTCTGACCGGCTGATCGTCCCCAATGCCTTGATGCTGACGGGCCATTCGGTATCAAGTAAATGCATGAGTCCTTGAAAGTGTAGCCGTGGGAACTGTAGGAGTATTGCAAATCAGTGTTGTCATTCGGACCTGAATATTGAATTCTCGGTTCGAACGACTTCAAATTTGCAAAGTTCAGACACGTGCACCCTCACGTCATTCACAATGGTCCGAATGATAACAGGATATACCATTACATTCCCGCTTACCAACGTTTACATTTCATATTATGTAAGGGCAGGACAATTACTTTAAGCTAGATCGAGCCGGCGGTTCATGACAAGGGTTCCGGGAATTTGCAGCAGACAAATTTACCGTGAATGACAGTGTCAGTTTTCACACCCTCAAAAACATAGTGTCAATTTGGGTGAACAAGCTGCGTCACGGCTGACGCTGTGACTTCATTGACGACACCGATGGATGACGAGTGGGAGATATGGGAGTCTGCAGAGTCAATTAGGTGAAATTCACCTGCAAATTAACCCAAATTAGCGTCAAGAAGCTGGAGCTTTTGTAGTCGTTGTAGCATCATGATTGTGCAAGGGTTTGTCGCGCATGCGAGTGGCAACCTTGATGCCTTGGCTCCACAATTACGGATCTGCAGTTCACTTCATTGGCTCCCATAACATCTTTCGTTCGTAACTCAGTTCCCGTATGTGGATACGACAACAGTTTTGACTGGTCAGCTTGAAAATCTCACTGTAAGGTCAATATTTGTAAACCCGCCCATAATATATAGTTAACCATGAGATTTAAATTTTTCACGGTTGCATCCTTCTCCCGTGAGAAACTCATTAATATAGTATCAGAACCAGCTCAGGGTGTTTCTTGGACGGTCGACCACCATATGAAACTTTAGAACAAAGTTTACCATGCACCCCGGAACCACTAGTGCCAAGTATATCACTCAATTGGTCAAACCTCGTGCATCATGTGGTGGATCGTCCAAAGCCCACTTACGGTCCGTGAATTTGATCAGCTGCATGAGGTGATAGTATGGATGTACTTATATTCAATTCCCTCCGGTAAGTTGTGGATCGCAGCTGGGTTGACTTTTGGGGTTGGTACAAGCCGATTAGTGGCCAGGAAGAGGCCATATTTAGCACGGTGCACATTGAATGCATGCAGGTCGGTTGCTTGGCTCGCTGTATGTCATAAAGGTTCGGTTCCTGTGATTTCGTGAACTGTGAAGGAACTTGCATAGCTAAGTTCGTGAGACATTCTTGTAACAGCACGCTGGTCGACAGGTATGAATATCACCTGCATTCAGCGTCTACTTTCTAAAACCCGCATCCTGGCATTTGCTCAATAGAGGTCATGTCCAATCCGCTGTACCATGCACCTGCAGCCCCTCAACAGGGCTATGGCATTTCTGATATGCTTGCATATTTCGGGCTAGTGGTGAAGTTACCTTTGACATTCATTCGATGGTCGTACCGAGAAATAGCACACATGACTCTCCATTCGTTTGCTGAAGGCTCGTGCCCCGATCCTCAAGGTGCCGTTCCGAGTCCAGTCATGTCAGACTCGGAGACCGTCCTGAGGAAAGGTCACAACCTTGATGTTCCTGAGTACACAAATTACCTCCCTCAGGGTTTATTGGCTGAATTTCAGAACAGCTCGACGAGTTCATCATTAGATTCGTCCAGGCGGACACCAACCACTCCGGCAAATTTTCAGTGGCATCCTGTGGGAGAATCTCAGTGCAACTCCACCCCTGATCTCACGAGGCAAATAGTTCGTCACGAAATATACCCAACGTTATCGGGTACGTATAGTGACGTTTGGCTATCAACATGGTACTATGACAAGCGAAAGCATTATGTAAGTGAAATTCGCCTATTAGAATCCTCCAAACACGAATGACTTTCTTAGGTTGCGGTCAAGTCACTGAAAATCCCATTCTCGAATGAGGACGACAAGAGTAAGAATTGCCAAGTCCGTTGTTTCGTTTGTGTCCGAGAAACTCGCTTACGGATGACTTAGAAACTGATGGTTAAAATATCACGTTGGGCGCAATTACATCACAAAAATGTCCTGCCACTGTATGGAATTGCACACGATTTTGGGCATTTTCCGTCACTGGTGACGCCTTGGATGAACGAGGGGTCGTTGAATGACTACATCGCTAATCATCATTTGTCACTGCGGAGCAAGTTGGACATCGTAAGTAGCCTTTTCGGTGGAAATGATCTCTCTCATTTTTGCACTTGTGCGCCCTTAGGCCAAACAGGTAGTAGCTGGCCTGGGCTATTGTTAGTTTTCTTTCATTCGTCATGGCAATGGCTTTCATTGATTTCAAATGTAGTACATGCTCATTCCATTGTGCACGGAGATATATCTGGAGTAAGATCTCTGCCCCTAGCAGTATGATTCGCTAACATTGTTTAGTTTAATATCCTGGTGGACCATCAGAGCAGAGCGCAATTATCCGACTTTGGAGTTATGTTATTGCTCGCGGAAATCCCAGCTTCGGCACAGCCATCTGGAGGTGTTCGCTCAGCGATACGATGGACTGATCCTCAGTTATTCGAGGTACAGAAAGCCGAAATCGACCCATGCATCCCAACGGAGCAGACTGATATCTATTCAATAGGTAGTGTTCTCCTGCAGGTATGGTACATAATCTCGTCGCAGGATCTTCCGCTTACCATATTGCGACTCTAGTTGCTCACAGGATCAATACCTTACTACGATATCAAGGATAACATCCGTGTCCTTGTATTATCTTCTACGGGCGTGAAGCCGAAATGTCCTCCAGGAACGTTTGTCACTAGTGCACAGTGGAGTTTTATTCAAAGATGTTGGTCACCTCGTGGACTTTCTAGTCGTCCGACTATCGAGGAAATAGAAGAATTTCTCGAGTCCGAGCTTCGGATGGCAGGTGTGCCTTAGTGCAGGATTTGATTCCCAGTACGTATATCTGGACGTTCATAAGACGCTCGCAGACAGAACATTTTATATAGGCTGTGATTTGCTGTGCCGCTTGGTTTAATCAGTGTTGTACGAACCTGGTCATTTCACTACGCTGCTCCTCCATGTCTTGTTTCACTAGTGGTCGTCCTACATGCCTGATTGTGACCCGAACCTTATATCCCCGTTCCTTTGATCTTTTGGATGTGTGCGAACGAAATTGCTTGCGGTTCAATGGGGTACCAGAGGGTACCACGAGATTTATAATAGCTCGTGTGCCTTGCCCATGGTGCTAGGATAAGAACGTGCAAAGTTTCATGAATTAACAAATAATATTGTCCAACAGTCTTTCATGCGAGTAAACGCCGAGACACGGAGAAGTGCTTACGTATGAGCAGCCATCAAAAATACGTCACGCACCTCCTGCAGTTAAAACTATAAATACTGGGCCCAAGAGGACAACATACATAGAATTTCACCTGAGTGGCACATTTGATTTAGGCCCCGCTTGGCAATCGAGTCCGGTTTGTTTTTTGGTGGTTACACACCAAAATCGAACCAGGCACTGGTTCCCATCAAAACGTCAAATTTAACCTGACCAGCGTGTGTGCTCAACAAAAAAGTTTGATTTTGATGGTTTAGATTGTGTATCCACTGGTACTTATCTGTAGCCTCTGTCTAATTTATGAACTCATCCCTCTCTTTAGGAAGTATTTACCAGAAGGGATGGTTTTTTTTTCTTTCTTAAATCCAAATTTCTGTCTTTGAGAGTGTAACTCTATGTAAGACAATACTATCTAGTCTTGGGTGCCCCATGCCCCATGCCCCATGCCCCATGCCCCATGCCCTGTGCCCCCCCGCACCTCTAGATTCATGAATACCCCAGTGTGAGGCTTGCCTCCACTGGTCTGCTGTTTCCGCTGCACATTTTAGACATGCAATCTATTGAAGGAAAGGTGACTCTAAGAATATTGCACAATGAAGTAACTGAGTATGTAAAGATTGACTGGATGCGTTCTTGGTTGCAAAAGCGACTGGTATAGGAATCAGATTGAGTGCAAATTAAGTAGAAGGGTGGTTTCTCAGATGGCGGAGAGACCAATTCTTGTTAGTTTTGACTGAATTCAATGGAGGCATTGATTCCATATAGACGAGTGAATATGTTTGTTTTATGAAATTATAGGGTTGGACTAGCAGATTATTTGAAGGTTTGAGGATTATTTGATTGTAGTGATAGGGCGAAGTGTTGAGGTAGAGGTTGGGGTCATATTATGGGGAAGGGGTATGGTAGAGTAGGGTATGGTGTTTGATGGGCAGTCAGTTTTGCTGATGGTATAAAGATGTCTGTCAGTTCGAACATTTTGAGAGCATGGAAATTTCACCAAATGTCGTCTTCATTCTGCCGGTGGCATTGATATATTGTATGAGGTGTGGGATAGCTGTTTTGTTGGTCAGAAGATATGGGATTGATGTGGCTTTGCAGCCCAGTGCTTGAATCATGGCATGACATTGAAGCGGTAGCTCCAGCCATAGTGAATGTGCCACATAATGCAGTGGCTTATCTCCCTACTTACTGGACAGCCCATGTTGACATTTCTCCATAATAGTCAGGCCAACCCACCATGGGCCCACATGTGAGATTATCACCAAATATGCTGAGTGGGCCAGGGGGTAGACAAAGTCCCAGGCTCAGGAGTGGGCCTACTGCATACACTGTGGAATATAATAATACATAGGATAGTACTGTTATGGTGTATAGGCTATAACTGTTATATGTTGCTTGAGGGCGATGGGTGGGCCCTGTATGAACTTGCCGATGCTGATCTTCAACATCACCAACACCTTAGCATATCTCCAGCATCGCCAACATCATATATACCTATTGCAATATGAGCAATCAAATCAACCACACCATGGCATATCCATGTAGTATAGCCATACATCCCAAACTGCCGGGATGGGACGATGGCTGAGTGTCAAATCTCCCAAGTATTTATCAGCCATACTGGGATCGCCGAAATCACATTCAAGGTGGCAAAGCTCTGCACTTCCTTGTGTATGGGCCCGGCGATTATTGAGTAGCTGGGGGAATATTTGTTACATATGCAATTAAAGCTTAGTGCCTCAAGTCCTGTGTATAGCGTCGCCGACTATTGACTCGTACCTCGAGTAGTCAGCTCGGGGCATATCTATAAACTCATGCACATCATCCCTCATGTACCACACCCAAGCTATTTGGTCACCATCCACCACATCTACCCCATGCCTGATTATCCTTCCTGAACCAACAGCCATGGCACCTGAATCATACACAATTTCAATGCCTATATTAGGCATCTTCATCCTTGCTCCTCCATAATTGCCGATGCTGGTCATGACGTCAAACCATTGGGAATGAGACAGAGGATCACGGTGGAAGGGTGAACACCAGTTGTACATACAGTGGCTCAAAAAACCGTCCGTATGTTTTGGCATTTTTCACTATCTATAATATTGTGTGAGAACAAACAAATGCCTCAAAAACATGCTTATACCACATTGTAGTATGGCTTCAGGGCTTTCATTTGAGCCCTACACCGTGGGAATCGGTGGAGATATGGTGGAGATACAAGGCTCACAAAATGGTGACTCATGTGGACAGTTTTTTGACTCAAGTATTTTACAGTAATAACCAGGTATTCTAGTATTTTGTATGACCTCCCTTGGCTTTAATTACTGCCTCTATCCTTCTAGGCATACTCTCAATTAATTTCTGGCAATCCTCAGCTGTGATCTTCCCCCATTCCACTGCTACTCTCTCCCAAAGCTCCCATACTCCTTTAGGGGGGTTTTCATAGGCTTGAAGCTTTTTCTTGAGTGTTCCCCAGAGATGTTCAATGACATTGACATCAGGAGACTGTGCTGGCCAGTCAAGAACATTGATGTTATGTTCTTCAAACCATTCCCTAGCTCTTCTGGATGTGTGCTTGGGATCATTATCCTGTTGGAAAATGATATCTTCTTCATCAATCCCTGATTCTGCCAAGCTAGGCAGCAAGTGGTCATTTAAAATGTCCACATACTGCTCAGCATTCATCTTCCCCTCAACCTCAGCAAGCATTCCCACACCATTCCATCCCATACAGCCCCATACCATTAAAGAACCTCCTCCAAACTTGACAGTCCCATTAACCTCTCTGTCTGTTAGGCCATCTCCCTTCTTTTTCCATACATACACCTTCCCATCTGACCCAATCCTATTGATTTTGGTCTCATCTGACCATATAACATGCTTCCAGTCCTCTACAGTCCAGTGTTGATGAGCTAAGGCAAAGGCTAGTCTTCTCTGCCTATGTTTGATGGAGAGAAGAGGCTTTTTCTTCTTTGTTACTGCCTTGAGATGAGCTGCCTTGAGAACATTCCTCACAGTTTGTGAAGAGACAGGGGTAGTGATGGTGGAATTGATATAATGGGTGGCTTGGACAGCATTATCAGCCTTTCCTGTAGTGATATGTTGGATAATAGCCCTTTTGTCAGTAGAGGTAAGCTTGGATGGACGTCCTCCACAAGAGTTTTCCTTGTCTGGGTGACTTTCTTTGATGAACTTGGCCACAGTGGACTTGCATATTCCAGTTCTAGAGGAAATTTGGCGAGCAGAGAGGCCAGCATAAGACAGAGAGAGGATATTATCTCTTTGAGCAGAGGAGATGGCTTTCATGGTGATTATGACTATGATACATGAGATATTCTGGTTTATATAGTTAGATATAGTCATAAAATAACATAATGACACCACTTTATAATTTATATAATAGTGGCATGATTTTTATGGTGTCATAAATAATGATTTATATAGTTTTAATATACACTCAAAAAACTGTCCACATGAGTCATCATTTTATAAGCCTTATATCTCCACCATATCTCCGCCGATTCCCACGGTGTAGGGCTCAAATAAAAGCCCTGAAGCCATACTACAATGTGGTATAAGTATGTCCTTGAGGAATTTGTTCATTCTCACACAATATCATAGATAGTGAAAAATGTCAAAACATGCGGACAGTTTTTTGAGCCACTGTAATGGAGAGAGCTGTAAACATGGATGTCCACTCTCTGAGGCGATCACCCATTTCATCCAATTTCTTGTCAGCTGCCCAGAGACCAAGGCCCAGCTGTTGGAGTGGTGCTTGCCACTTGGGCAGCCTGAACCAAGAAGAGATGATGACTAGCTACTACATCCGTGCATTGTGACTAGCTGCCAACAAACGCTGCAAACCCCAGCAAACCCCACACCTCTGCGACTAGAGTTTTAAAGTCCAGTTGCCGGTGTCATGCATGGTATGGAGTTCATACCATGACATATATGAATAGCAGTATAAAAGGAGATAAGTAGAGGAGTGTACAAAGGATATACTTCTTACTTACATAAGCTTTGTTTCTATTTATTTAGTTGTATTTGTAGTTTCTGTCTCTTTCCATTATTTGTTTATGTTTATTCAGCCACTTGATTACATCAGTGAGCCACTCAGATATGTTTGTAAGCATGTCATGTGACTGGTAATATTCTGATTTGTAAGGACTTTCCATGACTCATCATGTTTTGTCATGATTCGTCATGCTTTGTAATATTTTACTCATGTACTTTAGTAAGCAGCTGATTCAGCACACCAAAAGGCTTGGTTTGTAAGCATAATCTTACCAATCCAGTGATGACTCATTGCTTAGTAAGGATGGTTTCTAAAATGTATATAAGGACTCCATTCTCACATAATATATAAGTTTTTCCCCTTCCATTCTTTTCCCAAACCGTGTGGGAACGTAGGAATTTGAAGTCAGGAGTTTTCCCATTTTCTGTCTCAACACTGTGAGATCACGAAGAAAGTGAAGGCCTACGAATTGCCTTTGAAAACAATCATATTCTTTTAGTCTAGATTGATTGTATACTATCTTACAGGGATCGCCTATACAATAATCTATCATTTAATCTATTGTTTTAGTATTCGTGCCACATTCAGTTCAGAGAGGTCCATATTACCTACTAGGTTTCAGTTAACCTGACAATATATATACTACTCCTTTACTATCAAGAAGTGATCTAGCAAAGAAGTAATTTATTACCCTTTGGCCACCCACGAACACCACGTTATCAACCGAGAAGTAGAAAATTCGTTGACCATGAACTTGAGGAGCTGGCACCTTAGTCTTAAAGAGTACAATTGTGATAGTCATTGTATTCTGATCAACATATAAGACCCTCAAGTAAGAAGACATCACTGGAGCCCACCGCGAGGGTGGTTTTTTGCCTGATCAACCCCACGTTTATTTGGTTCTATCATAGAGAACCTATCGTATTTAATTAACCCCACGTCGTATTCAGTCAACCCCATCGTTTATTTAGGTTCTATCCTAGAGAACCCATCGTATTCAGAGATTTTTTTCCACCCAGTCTTGTGGAAAACCCCGTTCACTGTATCAGTTACAGTACCATCATATCAGCTTACAGAAGCAGCACACACCATGACATATTCAATCCCCCCATCAGTATTAACAATGCCCAATCCAGGAACTAAGGCAGCACCTGCCAAGTTCAAGGGCCACCATTCAGAAGTTAAGGACATTCTGAGACACTATGAGAAACTGTGTGATTATCACCATGTATCCTCTGAGGAAGAGAAATGTGAGACCATTACCCAGTATATGTCCAGACATGTCACCGAATTCGTAGAAGGACTAGCAAGTTTCAGGTCTTCAAACTGGAAACAGCTCAAAGCTGACATTTTGAAGTACTATGATGCAGACCTAGACTCCAAGAGATACAAGAGAAAAGATTTATTGTCCTACATACTGTCATATCCCGTATTCTGGACCTATGTCCGATGATGTTCCCATGCCTTCCGGACGCCTTCCGGATGCACATCTGGACCTCCATACCCTTATCCATACCTTCAGTCCTCCAGTCCACTATCGGTTTGGAACCGTTGTAGAGACTTGCGTTTCTGCAGGCTCATATGGGCTCATTTTACGAATTCTGACAACTGGCCTTCATGGCACAACTCGCACCATCATCCACCATGACTTCCACCATGGAGCGCACCACTTCCCGCGAAATGCACCATAGGCGCGACACTTTCCCGCACAACGCGCAGTATTCCCGCATGCACGCCTTGCGCACTTTCTCGCGCTTAAGCGCCCTGCATCGCGCATCATCCAGGAGCATCCATCCATCGTCCAACCAGTCCCTCGGTATGTCCCTTTTCGTTATCTGACCATATTTAGCACATTACACTTCCTATTTCGTCATTGACCCTTACTTTACATCACTTTACCTCATTTACATACTTAGAGCGCTCCCTATTCGGCTCCGAGCCCTGGGAGAGCGCTTAGGTAGAACTTACATACACTCATGTTCGTTTTACACGCAACTTTACCCACCTTAGCTTCCTATCACCACCTTCCTACCACTCAGTATCTATCACTAGTTAGTTCCATGCAATGCATGTGTCCATCATCGTTTTGAGGCCCTAGCATCAGTCTATAGCTAGTGGCACTATCAGTATCCGTCGTCTACACTTGTGCACCACTTGCACTACCTTCCTGCGTTCCGCGCACTTTCGCATTCCGCTTTCCCGCGCATTTCTCACGCTTTCACCGCCATTCACCAGGGTTGTTCAGCATCATTCCGTGGATCCTTGCTTTCCTTGCTTCCCCTTTAGGGTCGAACGTTCTTGCATTCTGCGAGTATAGCAGCTAGGCAGAGCTGAGACTCACTTATACTGGCTGAGCACTTTTCTTATATGTGCCTGCCAGGTTGTGATACCCACACCGTACACCTTCATACATCCATATATCAATACCTTTGGACCTCCGCAGCTAAGCCTGCTTCATCCACCCTTGATCCTATTGGATCCGAGCTCATTCCATCTTGGACTTTACCTTCACTAGACTATCGGTCTATATCCATGATCCATATCCTAGTCTCGTCTTCACCTAGATCTCCGGATCCGCTCATCCGATATCCAGACACTTCATCCGATATCTCTAGACCTCCGGATCCGACCTATACTCATATCCGAGGCCCAAACCTTAAATCAGTGTCTATCTCCTTATGGTAATCCCCTTGACTCTGGACTTTGGTTATCTCTGTTTCTGTCTTGCTTATTGATCCTTGTACTCTGTTCATATCCGAGTTCATTTACTTATGTTCCGTTCATGCTTACTAATATGTTTCCATATGCTCGTACATAGCATTTGTGTTCAGCTTACTGATCCTCTCGGATCCCTTCCAGTATATAAAGATCTGTACAACTCCTGTAAAGTTTCCTTAGTTCGAATATCAACATAGACTTGCTCCCTCGCATCTTAGACTTCACTCATTCTTGTCTTGGACTTTGGTCCATCTGAGTTCTGCCTTTCCATCAAGGCCTAGGGATGGATTCCCTAGGCCGTAAATCCAGACCTTCGGATTTGTCCCCTATGTTTCTGTTCTGAAGTCTAGGGATTGATTCCCTAGACCGAAGTTTTGCCTTTCCGGCACTTCCTGTCTTTCCGAGACTTCTGTCTAAACCCCGTCTATCCGACTCTACCATAGTGTAGTCCACCTCTGTTTGTTTCTACTCCGGACCTTGTCTGTAGTAGCCTTTCCCCTCCTGTCCTAATCCTGTCCGCTCCTCCGGTCCTCGTAAACCTTCGGACCTTCGGATGTTGTAACCTTCGGACGCCATTACCTTCGGACCTCCGGACGTCCTGTCCTTTGGACCACTCCTCCTATCATATCCTGCTTTGGACTCTGTCCCTTGCAGCCTATCCTCTATGAGTTTCTATCTAGGGAACTTATCTTGGGAAGTCTTACCTTCGGATCTAATACAGCGGATGAAACTCCTCCGGAAGTTTCTTGCACTCATCTGGAAGTCCTCTAGCACTCTACTAGAGTAGCCAGCCTCCGGAAGTCCTTCGGACTTCGTCGGATTCCATCTGGACTTCATTCTGAAATTAAGGGCACGTACTCGGGTAAGGGGCACAGCGGATCCAAAGGGCTTGGCCTCAGCTCGTGTGCTGTGCCCCTTACCCGAGTACGTGCCCTTAATTTCAGAATGAAGTCCAGATGGAATCCGACGAAGTCCGAAGGACTTCCGGAGGCTGGCTACTCTAGTAGAGTGCTAGAGGACTTCCAGATGAGTGCAAGAAACTTCCGGAGGAGTTTCATCCGCTGTATTAGATCCGAAGGTAAGACTTCCCAAGATAAGTTCCCTAGATAGAAACTCATAGAGGATAGGCTGCAAGGGACAGAGTCCAAAGCAGGATATGATAGGAGGAGTGGTCCAAAGGACAGGACGTCCGGAGGTCCGAAGGTAATGGCGTCCGAAGGTTACAACATCCGAAGGTCCGAAGGTTTACGAGGACCGGAGGAGCGGACAGGATTAGGACAGGAGGGGAAAGGCTACTACAGACAAGGTCCGGAGTAGAAACAAACAGAGGTGGACTACACTATGGTAGAGTCGGATAGACGGGGTTTAGACAGAAGTCTCGGAAAGACAGGAAGTGCCGGAAAGGCAAAACTTCGGTCTAGGGAATCAATCCCTAGACTTCAGAACAGAAACATAGGGGACAAATCCGAAGGTCTGGATTTACGGCCTAGGGAATCCATCCCTAGGCCTTGATGGAAAGGCAGAACTCAGATGGACCAAAGTCCAAGACAAGAATGAGTGAAGTCTAAGATGCGAGGGAGCAAGTCTATGTTGATATTCGAACTAAGGAAACTTTACAGGAGTTGTACAGATCTTTATATACTGGAAGGGATCCGAGAGGATCAGTAAGCTGAACACAAATGCTATGTACGAGCATATGGAAACATATTAGTAAGCATGAACGGAACATAAGTAAATGAACTCGGATATGAACAGAGTACAAGGATCAATAAGCAAGACAGAAACAGAGATAACCAAAGTCCAGAGTCAAGGGGATTACCATAAGGAGATAGACACTGATTTAAGGTTTGGGCCTCGGATATGAGTATAGGTCGGATCCGGAGGTCTAGAGATATCGGATGAAGTGTCTGGATATCGGATGAGCGGATCCGGAGATCTAGGTGAAGACGAGACTAGGATATGGATCATGGATATAGACCGATAGTCTAGGGAAGGTAGAGTCTGAGATGGAATGTACAAAGGTGTACGGATCCAAACCGATAGTGGACTGGAGGACTGAAGGCATGGATCAGGGTATGGAGGTCTGGATGTGCATCCAGAAGGCGTGGGAACATCATCGGATGTAGGTCCGGAATATGGGATATGACACCGTCCTCCCATGTCCTGCCTATGTCCACCTACCTCTGCTGGTGCGTTATTTCTCCTTAAATGTCGCTACTCATCAGTCGCAGGTCTTATTATATGTATCCTCATGTTTCGCAGCGCAGCATGTTTTCTTACCTGTTGCTACATCGTGCCCTCGCCAGTATCGCTACTGTTCTCACCTACGCATTCCCGAACTTTTACGCAGTATGATAAAGTGACCGGTTGCACATACAGTACAGTACTTCCCTTCCCCGGACCTTTGCTGGTGTCGGAGTCACTTTAGTCGCTATATCCTAGTCTTGGTGCAATCAATTCCGCTCTTGCCAATCTCTCTGATCGCGTGTCGCTTGACTTATTTTAAGTGCGCGTCACTAAAGTTCCCTCTAAAGTTTGAATTTCGCAACGTCAGGATCGCTATCGGTAGTCGAGCTATAATCTAGTCACTATCGGGCATTTCACTTGCACTGTCTTACCTTATTCCTCGCTTTCGCTTCCTTTGAATCTTCTCGCTGTCGCTAGTCGGACGTCGCATAGCGCTATCGCATAGGACAACTTGCATAGCGCTTCTCACTTACACGCACGTTTCTCTGTTGGAACTCACTTGTTGCTAGTTGCTGATCGCTACAGTGCTACTCATTGGTTTTTGGTCTTAGGTCGCTATAGGTTATTAGTCCTTTGCGCTATCGCTACCCTTGCATATTTGAAGGGAGTTGCTTCAATAGCAGTCCTCTTGGGTCGAATACTACACTCGTGTCTATTTGGATAAGTAGCGCTAGTTTCTAACTAGCCTAGTCGCTATTACTCCTTCACAATGTATTGCTACACAATTGGTGTGTATTCAAAGCACCAGCTGGATATTACTTGCCCCTCTTGTGCAGAAATGGCTGTTGGTCATATATGCATGACCAACTCTGATATTAGATTTAGCATGACATATCCCTGATGAAATGGTCCCTACTTTTCAAAGACTAATCAAACCCTAATTACTGGTATTTCATGGTTCGCATTGCTTAAGTGGATCGGCATGAGTCATGTATGCAAAGCATCAGTCTGCTAGGTATTTCTTGCTGCTTCAATGGATACATGGCTGTATGATATACATACACAACTAACACTAATATCAGCATGACATCTCCCTGATAAAACAAACTCATTGAAAGATTAATCAAAGCCTAATTGCTGCACCATGTTTAGTTACATCATGTGCAACTCAATACTGATTCTGAGTATAAATTACATCAGAGTTTCTGCTGATCTAGTACTGAGGGAAACAAGACTCCGTCCAACATCAATCATCACACACCATTGACTTCAGCACATGGGAGGCTCTAAAGTGCAGGAGTGGACACCTACCAGAAATATTTCCGTGGTGGAATGGAAGAAAATCTTTCAGAGCAGGAAAGTGACAGGGGAATGGGTGGAGAGACCCAAGATCCAGAAAATTCAATCAGTTTCAGCCACCCCTACTAAGTCATCATCAAAGCAGCCATCCCAGAATATGCTATATGATGGTGGGGATGAATTTATTGGAGACCTGCACCAGCAGGATTTCATACCACTGCAGCTACCAAAGTCTCTGGTAAGCCCAGCCCAGCAACACCAGGTGTTCTGTCACTCACTCACCTTGTTTCAAGAGTCAGAATGACTATCTTAGGCAATGGGTCCCAAAGACCCAGCAATATCTCAATATACTACTTGGGTGAGAGCTCCGGTCGACCGGTCGTGCATTATTTGTGGGACAGATGGTGTCTACAAATGTCACCAGTGCTTTGGCAATCCTCTCTTGTGCATGAATTGCTGCAGGATGGAGCACCAGAGGCTGCCTTTCCATCAAATCAGTCAATGGACAGGTGGATTCTTTGAGGATTGTTGCCTGGTCAAGACTGGGTTAGTCATTTGGCTAGGTCACAATAGAAATCCTTGCCCATGCCAGGGCTATGAGGTTGATGATATTGAAGAATTTTTCGCCGCAACTAGCGCTGACAGCGAGCATGCCAATGACAACGTAGGGCCCAAGCAGTACCCAAAGGACAGTAATAATGGGAATAATGCCTATGATGCTGAACTGGATGAACAACCTACTGGTGTGCAGTATTCAAATGACATCAATGATTTACCTACCGGTGTGCTGTTCATAAAGAATCACAAGACCATGACAACCATAGTGGACAAGTCTGGAGTTCACACTCACATCATCAAGTATTGCACATGCGCTGATGCTCCTAGCACCAACATACAACTCTTTCAAATGGGCATGTTCCCGGCATCCTTTTCCCAACCAAAGACTGCCTTTACCTTTGATGTATTGGATGATTTCTTGCTGGATAACTTGGAGTGTGGGACATCGGCAATGAATTATTACAGCAAGTTAAGGAGGATGACCACAGGTGTCTTTCCACATTTGGTGCTGGTGAGAGCATCCATCCATCCATCCATGGTCTGATGTTGACTAGTCAGCAGGACTGTTACTGAGAGTTAATGAGGGTGGCCAGGCAATGGCGCCAACTAAAGCTGCTGAAATGAAACAGCTTTGGCCATGAGGAAAGAGCATCAAACCCAGTGATCTTGCTCTCTTCTGTGCAGCTTGTCCTCAGCCAGGCATTAATGTGACGTTGCTGACTGAAGGCGACTATGAGGAGACGAACAACAAATCAGATCTGGAGACACCCAGTTGGCTCCATTCAAGATCACTAGTCATGAATGGCAACTTCAAAGCTGAGTATCTGCATGCCGCAAATCCCATTGATGAAGTCTCCCTGATGGATGGCTACAGTTTCATGGTTGGCAATAGCATGTATAAGGCACATCTTGCAAAGGCAAAAGACACTGTTCACCAATCTGAGTGTAACAACCACCATGCCGTGAATCAAGCCAACACATCTCACCACCAACTGGAAGCAATGGGCATCAGGGGTTGTGCCTGTGCAAGACATGGCTGCTTCGTCCCTCGTGCAATGGTGGACTTTCAGAAGGGAGAAAGGTTCGGACTTAATATTCCTCTGATGTGCTTTCATAGCCTTACAGACAGCCACCAGACAGATGAATATGAACTACACTTTGTGTGAGGGGTTGAAACACAATGCTGATGGCATTCAGCGTGCATTGACATTTTATGATGTTAACTGCCAGTACCACAAGCATCTGAAGGACTGTATAGCTGACAATCCTTTCTTGGACATACGGCCAGAGTTGGAGATAATCCCAGGGATTGGTCTGTGGCATGTTCATGGCCATCAAGACAGCTGCTATGTTTGTTACACTTCAAAATTTATCAATGGTGCCACAAGGATTGACGGCGAGATCATGGGTGTTACAAACTAGGATGGTTCTGACGTATGGCTACTCGATAAGAGTAATCGGCCAAGGTTGGTTCAAGGCTTCAGCATATGCCGAAGTTCAATGGTTCACTAAGACAAGACAAGGAGAGTGTCCTTGGCTTGAATCGAGTTTCAGACGACTTAAGATTGGAGGTCTTAAGCAAAGGAAGTTCCAGGTAAAACATAGTAAGATTAAAGTAAAGAACTACATAGTACAGAGCAAGTTTTATATAGTGAACGCTAGCTGCTTTAGGGCCGGTACGATAAAGTCAGGATGAGTCAGAGATAAGACAGAGTCAGAGATAACAAGAATAGATCATCTAGTGATGGCATGACGCGATCGTGATGTAATACAATGATGATAAGAGAACGAATAGGAAAATGAATAGGGGTGTACTCGATTGTAACAATGGGGACCCTATGGGTGCCATTGAACGTGATCTCTCCATCAGTGCATGGCATGGGGACACCCCACCAGAAGGAGTGTTTGGATTATCAAATGAACAATCACAATTTCATGAAAATGATCAGAATGAGTTGGTTGTTCAACCTCAATTTTCACTGAAATCACTCACTAGGACTATGAAGGCAAGGCCCTTTGCCGTAAATTCAGGCAAGTGGTGAAAGGGGTAGCTGACAGCAAGGTGGCCTTTGAGAAGCTTGATCAAACTGCTGATGCAAATCAAGTCAGAGAATGGGAACAACAAGAGAAGCTTGCACAGCAACGGCATGCCACTGATCCAAAAGCAATGGACATTTATGAAGTACGACTGCAGAAAGGTGTGTGGTAAAATCTAAGCCTCATCTAGGCTGATGGCAAGACAGTGCCAACAAGAAAGCAACAGGAACTACAGTTGCTGGAGGTGAGCAGTCAGTGCCCTGGTCCCGCATGCCGCAGGGGAGTGGCAATGTGGCTGGCAGATGGTTTGTCTATCAAGGAGGCACAGGTGACGCTCCAAATGGATGTTTGGAAGTTGAATAGGCACTCTATACAAAACCAGCAACTGGAGATTGGATGCCGTCGTGAGAGAATGCAAGGAGACATCGACCATTGGGTGGAGTTTACAGTGATATTCCTTGGTGATGCATTATATGATAGTGACATCCAGGTGATGGAGGATGAGCTGCTGATCCTTGAAGAAGATTTTGATGATGACATGACTGATCAATTCACATTATTTGATTCTGAAAAGGTGGTCATCCCAATGCCATCTAATCTGGGCACCGGCAGGTGCACCGAACGTGGCTCCAAAGATTTGATTCATCAAGAACTTGTGTTAAGGCAGGGACAGGCCAATGATGCCCTGCACAACATCAGAGTTCACTTGGCAGACAAGGCCATCATTTTCCACAAGACTGTCAGAATGGCAAAGTCACAAGCAATGTACACTAGAGCTTTGGCTCTGGTTCATTCAGTGGATAGGACAGTAAGCATCCAAGCAAGCATCTATTCAAAGTGTTGGTCTCAACTCTGCAAACTTGGCGCTGACAATAATTTGCTGGAGAGATATCGCCCATTGGCCAAGGAGCATCTCAAGGTTAGCACAGCCATCAGCGATCCAAATACCAGAGGCCAGAGAAACAATATTTTGGCTTGGTTCTGGTCCATGGACATGGTGGGAGACTCTGATGGGAGTGATTGGCTTAATGAATGTGAGATGTTCATGCTTTTGCGATTTTCCCAGTGCTCACTTTGCCGACACATATTAGTTTACCGGGTGCATTGGCTCCATGCCAAGGCTCTGAGAGACCGCTGGGAGGAAGAAATGCTACTTGTGCAGCATGAAATGAATTGGACATGCAACTTCTTTGTGCACAAAGCAAATCAATGGATACGTCTGGGCATCCTTGGCAAAGACACCAAGAAGGTGGGACACATTGCCTATGCAGTATGGCAGTGTGTTACGAACTAGGATAGTTCCGACAATAGCTACTCAATAAGAGTATTTGGCTAAGGTCAAGTCAAGGCTCTTGCATATGCAAGAGTTCGTAAGACAAGGCAAGGAGAGTGTCCTTGACTTGAATCAGATTCAGACGGCTTAAGATTGGAGGTCTCAAGTGAAGGAAGTTCCAGGTAAAACCTAGTAAGATTAAAGTGAAGAAATACAATGTACAGAACGGGTTTATATAGTGAACGGTAACGGCTTTAGGGCAGGTATCGGTGAGTCAGAATGAGTCATCTAGCGACGGCTTTGATAGTGATCGTGATGTAATACAATGAGTCAGAGATAAGATGATAAGAGATAAGTCTAGCGACAGCTTGATAGCGATCGTGACATAATACAATGTGAAGAGGAGAAAATGAATAGGGGCATACTCAGACTGTAACATTACCCCCGTTTTTATCATTGAAGTCACCGATTTCAACAATCCAAGTTATAGTAAGCGTCATAGTTGTTGTTGTCTCCTGCACATTGGGAAAAGAGCTTCTCGTCTTCTTTGATGGATATCTGCTCTGTTTCAGCGTCTTTATCAGCTTCCCACCTAGAGAGGGCTTCATAGAATCCCTTGTCTGTCCAGACCAAAGGTATCACCGGTTCTCCTTTGAGGTCTTTACAAAAGACCGATAAGTGTCCAGGCGCTAAGTTGTGACATACTCGACAATAGTATGTAGGACAGTTCTTGTGATGATGGCCCATAAGACCACAATTACGACAAAGGAAGTTGTCAGCGGGTTCAGTTTTCACGATGGTAACGGAGGAGGATGGTGGTGGTGGAGATGGGGTCTTGGAGTGTAAAGCTCGGTTTTGGTTGGTAGGGGATACGGAGTGTTCTCACTTGACCTTGGAAGGTCAACGGGTAGGGCATCTGCGGCGTGTGGTTGTTGTTGGGGTAGATGTAATAGGAGCTGGTATGACAGGTACTGCAGGAGGAATGAGAATGCTAGTTGTATGCTCAACGGGAGTTGGTATCTCGACCAGAGGTGGAATGGGAATTGCAATATGGGGGGATGGGGGTCTAGCAACTGGGTGAAGTGCAATTCGTTCAGTGACGACATGGATAGCCTCTTGAATAATCTCTTTAGTAGTAGCAGGCATGAGACGCACTGCAGTATTGCGAATATGTATGTGAAGGTGGCGGAAGATGGTCTGATGACGGGGGTCATTGATGAGTCCGGCAGTGTGACCGACGAGATTAGCGGCACGGATAATGTTAATGAGAAGTGCACTAGATAGAGCACCTCGTTCAGCGAGAAGACGATCTATATCAATGGCATATTGCTCAGAGGTGAGAGCGGACTCAAACAAGGTGTTGGTTTCAATATCATCAAGGATATCAAAATAGTTGGAGTCAACTGATTCGTCGGTTAATGTGGTAGTGGAGAGTGTCGAGGAGAGTACTGGGGAAGAAAGATTTTGGGCGGCAGTGGTCATAGCAGTAGAGATTTCTTGGACACGTAAGAAGAGGAGTTGAAGTCGTTCAATTGAAGAGGACATGATTTCGATGGGGTTCTTATAATCGGTGAGTTTTCTTATAAGCAGCGAGAATAGTGGAAGTGTTGCCAAGGTTCTTTTCAGGGATCCATTCGTTACTGGCTGAGGCATACCCTTTCCAGGATACGAGATAGCGTCTTCGTTTACCTGTGCCTTTGTGCGATAGGATCGCTTCAACTTCATATTCTTCTTCGTTATCTATGATGTCAGGTGGTGGATCATGGAAATTCGGACCATGGATCTCGGTTTCATGATAGGATGATAGTTCGGAGCATGGAACGTGGGGTGAACTTTCCATTGTGCTGGGAGTTGGAGTGTGAACATGATAGGGGAGAGTATGGCTTTCACTGTTAAGACCGTACTCAAGTAGTATCGGATCCGAAGGGCTTTGGCCTCAGCTCGTGCGCTGTGCCCCTTTCCCGAGTCTTGCCCCTTATTTCAGAGTGCTAGAGTATCACGTCTAGTGAGACGGATAAGTATCATAACGGATCCGTTAAGGCTTCCGGATATCGAACGTATAGAGTAACAGCTAATCCAGATCAGATCTGAACTAGAAACTAACGGGTGAGGACTGTCCGAAGACAGAGGTGGATATGTAGACTATAGGAATCAATCCTAAGTCTCGGAATAGACAAGAGTAGTGTACTCAAGTCCAGACGGATAACGGAGGGACTTAGAGTCCGGACGGAATGAGTGCAATCTAAGATGATATTCGAACTGATCTACTACAGTGCATGTACAAGGGTTTATATACTACGGATAACTAACGGAATGATCAATAAGCAAAGGCACGAGGCTATGTACGAAGTATAAGCAAAGTATGTGCACAGTGTATTGGTAAGTCGGATGGATCACGAATCATGAACCGGGAATGAAGTATAAGTTAAGCGGATCAGTAAGTGTAGCGGATCAGTAAGCATAACGGAAGTAAAGGATAACCGGTATACCGGTGTCTTAATAACCGAGGGTCTTATATAAATACGTGTAAGAATGTAATGACACCACAATTACACTGGATAAGACTTCTTGCCAGTCCTCGATTAACACGGTCTACGACTTTTCTTCTTTCGTGGTAGATAACGTGTGAGTTCTTGGGAGGCTCGCTAAACCAATCAGCCAGATTAACTTAGCCGGAGCTTTATTATCTCTGATTGAAACTATGGGATTGTCTAGGATATACCGTCTAGACACTTGAACTGGTTTCCTGAATATACGGTTAACTGTTGAGAAGCTGGTCTCAAATGTGACTACGTGGACCAAAGCTCGTGTTGGTCAATATACAAATACCTGGTGAGAACGCTGGTCTCACAAATAAACAAT